TGATATACACACTAAGATTTAAGTCACCTAGAATAGCAATTATTCCCCTCTGAGGAGCAAGCACACGTATTTTCAATAGTTATAGAAAAGTTCTACTCACTACCGGTCTAATAAATGGTTGGATGACTAACTAAATAATCAGCTGGCATTTTCAGTTAAGGGCTTGCCACAGGTCACACAGTAATAAACTAATGAGCTGAAATCTGAAGTAAGATCAAAGGATGGCAGAATGAGCAGCATGCAACACATCTCTGAAATAAAGCCACATTACATACTTTTTCAAATCATAAAATCGTATTATTCTTTTAGAAATTTCACTCTTCTCAATATTTAGATTTCCTTTAGAAAATATCCCTTATGTCAGTTGAGATTATTTTTGTTGTTATTAAAGTAACATATGGCTTTAAATTTTTATGAAAGAAAAAAAAACAAATAAACCTCTTTATCCCCCTAGATGTCCTCCTTTTCCTTGTAATTTTTAGTATGCAAATGGAATCTTACCATAATGCTTTTAAGTCGTTTGACCTCATCTTCTTGTGCTCTATAGGATTCTAGTTCTTGTTGAACTGATTCTGCAACTTCTGGAAATGGACTAAAACAGTATCACACAAGAGGAACTGTGAGTATGACATTAAAACAGTGATTTTTGTGTAAATTCTGAAATACAGACGGTGAAGATTTATTGTTATCTTAAATTAACTTGTTTGTATTTGATGTATTTTATATCTCACAAAAGCAAAAACTAGCCAGGCATGGTGTACCTGAACTATGATATTTAATCTTCAAAATCTGCACTATCTTTAGGTCTCAGCTAACAGAGAATAAAGGCTGGTGTTTACTGAGTGCTTTTACTGTATGCCAACACTATGTTAAGAATTTATCTCTATTATCTCATTTAACCATGACCTGTTGTTGAGTTAGGTAATATTCCTAGCTAAGACCAGGTGCTTTGAGATGTGAGAACCGCCCCTAAGGATGAATAGTATTTTCCTTCTTTCTTTCATTGGCTTTACCAATGGCAGCTGGATAACTCTGGGCAAGTTATTTCTTTATATCCATTTTCTCAATTTCCCTAACAATCTTCCAGAATAGAGAAGTGGGTAGAATTATCATCTTCCCATTGTACTGATGAGAAAACTGAAGCTCAGAGAAGTTTAAGTCAGTTGCTTGACTCTATGCTGGCTTCTGGTGGTTTTGTGTTATTGTAGCACAATGTGCTACACTGTTCCCACTTAACAACACAAGGCTGATGCTTTTACTATGCAACTGACCTCAGATAGTTCCTAAACATATTCAAAATTTCTAAAAGAGTAGCCATAGCAAGGATACATACATGTGTGTGCATACACTAAGCACTAAAAAATCATCTTTTCATAATCACTGAGGAATGATATTTTTGTTTGCTTAGAATGATTTCTGTAGCCGCAATGACCACTAAATAAATTTTATAGCAGTTACTGAGCCCATATAGTACCCTAAACTGTAAGGGGAACAGCAATACCGGGAATGTGTGTATCACCCTACAATAAATTAATGGGCAAATTATTACATTTTTTCACCCATTATTTGTAATATACATTGAGTAAATCTCTGGGTTTCAGACTTAGGTATTCTCTCTACAGAGGTCTGTGAGGTTTGTATGAAGGAAAACAGTAAAAAAGGAAAAAATCCCACCCCAAAGTTTCCCTATCACAAAACTCCATTTTGACAAAAGGCAGAAATGGTCTTATAGAGTCAATGGAGACAGCAACAAAACTTACAGACTATCTGTAAAATCTGCAAAATCATATGGGGCGAGCTTATTGCAAAGTGACCCTACAAACCAACCCAAGGATCAGGAAAAAACGAAGCAATAAAAAACATATACCTATGGATTATTTAATTATAGCTCCCACTCATTGTGTGAATGAATCACCATGATTGTTTTAATTTTTTCCTCAAATTCAGAGGTTAAATGACATCATCATTTCTCTTTAAGGGATGAATCTTTTACTTACTGATACTTTTCTTTCTTACCTTCCTTTATGTTTTTGCCAGAATTTATCAACTGGAGTTAAATCATAAGACTTCTTATTTTTTCTCTTTGGTCTGGCACCAGCTGGAGAGTTTTCCACTCCAGAAGATTCTTCCAAATTAACCCTGTTTAAGTGGAAATCCTAGGAAAAAGTAATCCTATTTTAAATGATTGTTTTTTGAATTTAATCAACATAGATTCTTGCTGCACTTTCTAATATTTCCAAGGACAAAATATAGATCTGAAATTTAAAAGATCTTTAATCTTTTGTTACATACAGATGTACTTTTTTTGAGACAGAGTCTCAGTCTGTTGCCTTGGGTAGGGTGACATGGCATCACAGCTCACAGGAAACTCAAACTCCTAGGTTTGAGCAATCCTCTTGTCTCAGTCTCCCAAGTATCTGGTACTACAGGCACCCTTTACAATGCCTGGCTAGTTTTTCTATTTTTAGTAGAGATGGGGTCTCACCCTTGCTCAGGCTAGTCTTGAACTCCTGAGCTCAGGTGATCCACCTGCCTCAGCCTCTCCAAGTGCTAAGATTATAGGCATGAGCTACTGTGCCCAGCCTCATACAAATATACTTTTGTTTATTTATTTATTTTTTGAGACAGAGTCTCACTTTATTGTCCTGGGTAGAGTGCCATGCCATCACAGCTCACAGCAACCAAACTCTTGGGCTTAGGTGATTCTCTTGCCTCAGCTTCCCAAGTAGCTGGGACTACAGGTGCCTGCCACAACGTCCAGCTATTGTTTACCACAGTATCATTGTTCTTTAGCTGGCCTGGGCCAGGTTCACACCCATCAGCCTTGGTGTATGTGACTGGTGCAGTAACCACTGTGCTACAGGCACTGAACCATGTTTATGTATTTAAATATAAGTATTAGATGTATACAATTAAAATTTCCAAACATATATAAAGAGAAAAACCATGCTAAAGTTTTTGTGTATTCTGGAAAATACTTATGCATGTACTAGAATATACGTATGTTATAAATTTTACTTTAAAAATGGGATTAAATTATGCATATTTTCTAACCTTTTATCATTAAATAATGTATTTTAGAGCTTTTTCTGTATCTATGTATGTACATCTATCTCATCTTCTTCATGGTTACAAGCCATGCTCAGCTATATCAACTTATTTAATGATGCCTCTTGATGCTTGATTGTTTCTGATACAGCCATAATCTTAAATATAATTTTTCATTCCTTGGAGAAACTTAAGATTCTGAAGTGTACTTGAGGGATGCATTGCCTTTTTTAAAATTTACATTAGAAGCTACAATAATAATAGCACTCCCTTTCACATAAAGTCTAAAAGCCAGTCAGGCTACTGTTGCTAAACTTTGTCACCCAGAACTCATATGAGGCTTATTTTTTTTCCCCCTTTCTCAAAAAGCAAACATACAATAGGCAAAAATAAAGTAATTGGCTGGGTGCCTGTGGCTCAAGTGGCTAAGGCGCTAGCCACAGACACCTAAGGTGGTGGGTTCGAATCCAGCCTGGGCCCGCCAAACAACAATGATGGCTGCAACCAAAAAAAATAGCTGGGCGTTGTGGTGGGCACCTGTGGTCCCAGCTACTTGGGAGGCAGAAGTAGGAGACTTGCTTGAGCCCAGGAATTGATGACACAGCACTCTAATGAGGGGGACAGCTTGAGGCTCTGTCTCAAAAAAACAACAACAACAACAACAAAAAAAAACTGATTACCTTGTCTATTCTTTCCCTCCCCTTGTATTAGACCTATAGGTTCCTTCACACAATAGCAGCATTTTATGGTTCAATTCTACTTAAGAAATGAGTTAGAAATAAGAGATGGCTATCAGTAAGTGAGCAAATGAACAATAAACAAACAAGAAAGTATACGGCAAAATTATCAAGCATGATACTTTGATGCAATCATCTTAGTTATCAGGTATTTGTATATATTTTTAATTAATGATTATTCTAGGTCTTGTCAAACATGCTAAATACAATTTAATCACTTCTAGATAAAACAAAGACAATAATGACTTAGATTATAACCTTCTTAAATAAATCCTTTATGATAGCTTATTTCTAGAATATAATATGTAAATTTTACAACATATGTATATGTGCAAGAAATCTGTCTCTACAGTTGATCTGTAACTTTCTCAAATAAATCCTTTATGACAGCTTATTTCCTTGCCTTTTTTCTCTTTGACATAAACAATAGTGTGAAATATACAGATGTCTAATTGCCATAGTGGAGTAGCATGTCTATTTTCTGACAAATAAATTACAAAAGCAATGAGGCAGTCTTCTCCTACTTATATGTAAAATCCATCAAAGAGAAAAATCACAGAAAGAATAGGTATCTTTTATTTGCAAGGCAATTATTCTTAGCACTTTAACTCATTTGATCCTCACAGTAAATCTTAAAAGTAGTAATACAATTTCCATTTCAGAGATAAAAAACTGAGGCACAGAGAAATAAGTTAATTGCCCAAGACTGTAGAGAAATACGTAGCAGAACCAAGATTAAAATCCAGACAGGCTGACTTTAGACTTTATTTTGCTAATTCTATTTTTAGCAAGAATAGAGCAACTGGAATCAGATCCTATTACTTGAAATTCCCTATAGCGTAGAACATTGAATAGCCCTGGGTTGTATAAATAGGCAATTTAAAGACTTGAGAAGTTGCAATACATTTTTTGGATAATAAAAAGTATGTTATATTTCAATCTATTAATATTATTTTTCCTATAGACTCCTCATGTTATCATAAGGCAAGAATATCAGAGACCTTATTTAATTCCTCTCAGTTTCCCTTTTCCATATCTAAGCCTCACTGTTTAAAACACTTCATCCATATATAGAAAGAAAGCACAACTACAGAAAAAAACGCAACTGTGGAAAAAATATATAAATATTTTTTGTAGTTTTTGGCTGGGGCTGAGTTTGAACCTGCCAACTCCCGCATATGGGGCCGGAGCCCTAATTTTTTTTGTTTTTTTTTGAGACAGAGTCTCAAGCTGTTGCCCTGGGTAGAGTGCCATGGCGTCATAGCTCACAGCAACTTCCAACTTTTGGGTTCAAGTGATCCTCTTGCCTCAGTTTTTCTATTTTTAGTAGAGATGGGGTCTTGCTCTTGCTCATGGTCTTGAACTCATGAGCTCAAGCAATCCACTCACCTTGGAAAAACATTTTAAACAATAAATAGATATTAATGGTTATATCTATGAAAAAGCCTAGCTTTAAAAAATTATCTAGCCAAACAAGATAGAAGAGAAACATCTTTAAACAGTTAGGCTTTATTAACTAGAATTTCTAGTGAAGTGCTATTTTCATGGTGATGACACAGCTCATTCAAAATAAAAGTAACTTGTTAGCAAAATTACTATTCTAAAAATAGGAAAGCATATTATTGCTAAAGTATTGATGGAATACTTAAAAGGAAATACAAAATGATAAAGGAATAAAAGATGTTTAGAATTCTGAGAAAACATAATAACGGGAAGGACATTTCTCTCCTTTGCATAATAGCAAGGCAAATAAGGAAAAGTAATTTCAATCCTGAAAACTAGGAAATCTGAAATTCTGTGCTGTACTCAATCATTTTAAAGCAATTGGACATTTAAACACACAAAAAAAGACACAGAATTGGTTTTAACATGGTAGAGTCTAATCAGTTTCCACTGATAGTCAAAATTTCCTCCCTTAGAAGACAGGATAAAATCACCAGATATAAATAAATTGCATTAGGAAGTACAGAAAACATTGAGACATCTTCAACGGTCTCCTAGGTTCAAGCAGTCCTCCTGCCTCAGCTTCCTTCAGTCCCCTGTAGCTGGGACTACAGGAGCCTGCTACAGTGCTCAGCTAATTTTTTTATTCTTAGTAGAGACAAGGTCTCACTCTTGCTCAGGTTGGTCTGGAACTCTTGAGCTCAAGCAATCTACCTGTCTCTGCCTTCCAGAGTGGCTAGGATTATAGGTGTAAGCCACTGTACCTGGCTAAATCTTTATTAATTTAAACCACTGATGTTTGAGGGTTGGTTTAGACTGACAGCACAACCTATCCTATCCTAAATCAGAGGCTAAGGTATTCTATACAGCATCAGTGATTATCTTTGGGAAGTTTGTTCCTGCTTATTAAAGCACAGTTCTTTGTAACTCTAGGAATGATGAGCTGGATACCCAGATACATTGCTGGGTTTTTTTTCTACCATACATTTTCTACTAGTTTTCACCTGTTAATTTTGGCTCATATGCAATTTATTTAACTATTAAAGAATTTGGGCCAGGCTTGGCGCCCCTAGCACAGTGGTTACAGCACCAGGCACATGCACCGAGGCTGGCGGGTTCAAATCCAGCTCCAGCCTGCTAAACAACAATGACAACCGCAACAACAACAAAATAGCTGCGTGCTGTGGTGGGTGCCTATAGTCCCAGCAATTTAGGAGGCTGAGGCAAGAGAATCGCTTAAGCGATTTGAGGTTTGAGGTTGCTATGAGCTGTGATGACACAGCACTCTACTGAGGGTTACCTAGTGAGACTGTCTCAAAAAAAAAATTTATTTGGAAACTGATTCCTTTTTTATTCTTGATTGACAAAAAAGCAAATCTTATTAAAGTACCTATGCATGTAATTATAAACTCTGATTTAATGTTTTAAATAAGACTAAGTAGTAAAGGGCAAAGGTACTAAAAGGAAACCTAACATTTGAAAAAATAAAGGCCTGTAAACTGCAAGATACCGAGATGAAATAATATCCACCCTTTTTTTTCTTTTATTAAATGATAACTATGTACATTAATGCAATTCTAGGGTACAGTGTGGTGTTTTCACATACAATAATATCCATCTTTTTGACTGATGGCAACCACACTTTGTAGTTGAACAATCAACTCTGCTCCTCTTACAAGATATAAAAACAAAAAATCATGGCATTTTAATGACTAATTTTGCTTCTTATATACTGATAAAAGGAAAAGGCACTGCAAAGTTTTTTACCAGAAGGATATATTTCCCATTTCCAATGACAAAATTATCCTTCTAACACATGGGGAAGCTGTGTGGATTTTTATAGTTGTTTCCAAAATCTAACATATAAGTAATTATTGATGGTGCAGATTTTCAGGCAAAGACATTTAATATAAAAATCAAATTGCAATTTTAAGTTAACATTTTCTATTTTGAACGATTACTCCATCTTGTGGAGACAAGGGGTATAGTTATAAGAATTTTTAAAGCTCTGAAAAAATTAACAGTTTTTAACAATCAAAAGATGGCATGATTACAATTTATGACATCTCAGTTATAATTTGTTCATATCTAGAAACTGCATTAAAATTACTGAACAGTATTAGGTCACTGTAAGTTATGATGTTAATTATAACCAATCTTTTCAAAGATTGCCAACTTTTTATGTGAAGATTTAAAACAAAACCCCTAAACAGCCCTACCATCTAGTTTCACCATCTTTTACTTTTAAAATGGTATCTTAATTTTGAAGAGTAGGAAATAAAAATTGCTACAAAGGCCAGTGTAAAAATTCATTTTTTAGTCCTTATATTTATTCTCACTTCATCCTGGAACACTGAAAACTTCAGCAAGAACAGTATTGGTCTTGTTTAGTTCCTGGACCTCTTCTCTTTCCTATCTATACTCCTTCCCTTGGTGATCTCATCTTGTTTTTTGGCTTTCTCTCATGCTAAGACAACTCCAACAGCCTTCTAACTGATCTCCTTGCTGTTCCTATGCCTTCAACACAGCAGCTAGAGTCACAGACTTAAAATACATACCAGAGCTGCATGTTGCTCCTCGTTTTTTCTCAAATTGAAAGTCAGCGTCTTTACAGTGGCCCGTGATATCCTATCCTACATGGTATATGCCTTCCCATGTCCTATTTAGCCTTATCTCTAGCTACTTTCCCCCCTGCCTCACTACATTGTGGCTCCTTGGCTGCCCTGCCAGCCTTTAAATATATCAGGCATTCTTCTGCCCAGAATGATTTTTTCTCACATAGCTATATAATTCACTACTTTACCTCTGGATTGTCTCTCAAATGTCACTGTAACAGTAACACCTCCTTATTTTAAAATTTCTAATATTCACTAATACTTACTTTATTCTCCTTCAGAGTACTTCCCACTTTCTGAAATGTTATAAGTTTTGTTTATTTTATTTATTGCCTATCTCTCCTAATGGAATGTAAGCTCTAGGAAGATAAGAGGGCCTTTGTCTTTGTTATTGCTAAAACCAGGGTCTGAATATTTGTTACAGAGTAAACACTTAAATACTGTTTGAACTGAGTTCCTCATCTCCAGCCTTTTTACCTGACCCCCTGAAACCATCTTCCAGATTCCATTACTCAGGTTTTAATTCAGAGTTCCTTTGATTCTTCTTGTTTTCTCTACTGAATTTGTATTCACTGCTGTTTCTCTGATACTCATCCTAGAGTCATGGCATAGGACTCTAGGATAAAGAAATATGTAGAATTGCCAATTTCTGTCAGTAATCCTAAATCTAATTTATTTAAGTCAACACTTTAGAAGTAATATCCAGGTTTTAAAGAAATGAATTTGTCTTTTACATATCCAAAAGACAAATTGTCTAATGCATATCTTTTGTTTCCTTTTTATACAACATTTCAGGCAATCTTTGCAAGAATTACAGTATTATTTACCATAATCTCTAAAGGACTAGGCTAGGAGTCCTAAAGAGTATTATTCTTAACAGGGCCAATGATTTGGGTTCAAATTCTTTAACTTCTGTGTCTTAATACTAAAGAGTATTAGTCTTAACCTGGCCAATAATTTGGGTTCAAATTCTTTAACTTCTGTGTCTCAATTTTTCTACCAAATAGAGACCGTTCTGGACCTATTACATAATATTTTGTAGAGAATTATTTGTGTATACATTTTCTTTTTGTCCTAAAAGACTGGGACTGTGTTTTAATTATCTGTGTACATGCTAAACATATTATTTAGTAGATGAATATATGCATGGATAAATACAAATTTTTGTTTTAAGCATGAAATAAGATATGTGGAATTACTATAGAAACTATATGGTATATTAAAAAAAAATACTACTTTTACCACAAAATGAGGCCTAATTGATTCCTAGAAAAAAAGGAGAAATTACAGCTTTTCTCCCAGGATGAACACATTTAATTATTTAGTATGAAAAAAATATGTTGCTCATTTTCTTCAATTGTTTTCTTTTCCATCATGGCCAGTAATTTATCCTACAATTTAAAGATCATAAATTTGGAACTTTAAACTTCAATGTTTCACTATATCTGCATCCAGTGATTCCAAAACCTATCACTTTTTGTTAATATTTTTAATCTCCCTCCTTCTCATATTTGTTTTTGTAGCCACAATGTTAACTTTAAATTAAAGGAACCATTGCATGTTACTGTATTTTAGTAATAAGTGCATATTTAGCCTCTTACCAGTACATCATGCACCAATGCTTGATATGTCCAAGTATGATGTAAAGGAGTTGCCAAATCTATGTTTCTGTCAACAAGGACTAATAAAGGCCTTTGGAAGCTGTGAATATATTAAAAAAAATTATATAACTCTTGATACACCTAAAATTTCCTAACACTTTAGTATATGCTATTTGATATGAATAACAGTGTGCTAATATTCATACTTTATAATACTTTGCTTTATTTAAAAATGTATAACATGGTTAGTAAAGTACAGTAATGCTTTGGACTAGGTGGAGCCTATGTACAATGCTAGATTATAAGTCTCTTTCTTACAAGAAGAAATCTATACAAATACTTTTATAGAGTAACTTTTATAGTTATTAACAAAATAAGCTGCTCCTATTTATATATAAACTATTTCATGTTTTTGCAGAAAAAGCAAAAAAGGAATAGTTATTATCAGCTTTAAGGAAAACAAAGCAAGTAGGAGGTTATAAATTTACACAAATATTTGACAGTTTCATATATTATAAAACACATTTTTTTCCTATCAACACAAATTCAACAGAGCAGGCTCCAGAGAGCACAAAAAAACTCTATTCTATTACAATATATAAAATGAAAACATCATGTCACAATGGTACCTAATTATATTATCCCCTTAACAGACAAAGCATATGACACTTAATGTACTGTTTAACTCCATTATTACAATTTAGATGTGATACAGACTATATTTAAGGTGAATGGAGGCACAAAGTCATTTGGTTACCATGTCTTCAGAAGTTTTTAGAGATTTGCTTTGGAGGCACTAGTGTATCAGGAGTATACACCATTTTAAAAGGCACTGCCATTTGATAATATTAATTAATATACATATTTCTTCCTGTAAAAGACCTCTATTTGAATAACTTATTTACCCTTTGAGGTATAGGGCAGTGGACTTTCCTAATGCACTGACTATAGGATAAAAAGTCAGAGGCATCCTCACAATCTACCATCATTTATTACACCAGAGCTAGCTGGAGGATGAAGGAGGGTGGTCTACTACAGGGCTTCTTCTTAACCTTAGCACTACTTACATTTGGGGCTTGAAAACTCATTGTGATGGGGGTTGTGTGGTGCATTTCAGAATGTTCAACAGCATCCTACAACACACCTATTAGATTCCAGTATTACCTACCTAGTGATGACAACCAAACATGTCTCCAGACACTATCAAATGTCTGTGAGAGACATAAACTGCCCCTATGGGATTCCCCAGCCTACAGGTGAATTCAGATGTGTTTCACAATATTCCAACAAGGCTGTTGACCCCTACTTAAATAATCAAAATAACTATACTGTGATAACGTGAATAAATTTTTTAAAACCCAAATAAAACAGTGCATTTTATATTGGTTTCTAGGGCCCATGCCAAAGTACTATAAAAAGGGAACTAATAAGTAAGGTATATAACATAGTGGTTGCTTCTGTTAAAAACAAAATTGGGTTGAGAACTTGGCTTTCTCTACCTAATGAGAAAGAAAAACATTTTAAGACCACTTAAGACCAGCAATGAAATCATAGAACAGTTTAAAATAATGTGGGAGCTAAGGCAGTTAATCAAATAAGTGAAACACAATGTTTTTTTTTTTTTTCAGACGGAGCCTCGAGCTATCCCCCTGGGTAGAGTGCCATGGCATCACGCTCACAGCAACCTCCAACTTCTGGGCTCAAGCGAGTCTCCTGCCTCAGCCTCCCAAGTAGCTGGGACTACAGGCGCCCGCCACAGCGCCTGGCCATTTTTTGGTTGCAGCCATTATTGTTGTTTGGCGGGCCCAGGCTGGGGATTCGAACCTGCCACCTTAGGTGTATGTGGCTGGCGCCTTAGCCGCTTGAGCCACAGGTGCCGAGCCGTGAAACACAATGTTAATGCCAACAGCAAATAATAGTAATAATAAGGCTGCAGAGTCATCAAAATTGACTGGAAATGAAGTCTTCAGACAGTTATGAAATTATTATTCCTAGTAGACAGACAGCTATTTTACTGGCATCAATTTATTTTCATGGGCTTATAATTCACCTAAATGGGGCATAAGAGTTAATTTTACAAAATACACACAGTCTCATTCTCTTTATAATTCTCAGCATTTGAGTGGGTTTCTTTACTTCTCCCCTCCATTATTAAATGTACTAAATATACAGAGTTTTTAAGTTATTTGTATTTGGTAATAATTGAGCAACCAGAAACTCTGGCATACCAATTCATGCTAGAAATGCTAAAAATGTACAATGTTTTGCAAGTTTGGGCTATTACTATTTCAGAGTAAAAATGAAAATTACATAATAAAAGTAGAAACAGAAATAAGTATCACAAGTTTTTCATTTTTTAAAAAATTACTAAGAGGTTGGATGGTAAGTTAAAGGAAATGCCTTCGGACCTTCAAAACCTCATAAACAGAAAAATTTCCTCTGCAGATAAAAAAAAGCTACAGAAATTTTTACCAAAACAAGGTAAGCTAAATAGCATACTCTATTTGCATTTCAAGAACAACTTGAATCAAAACTGTGATCATAATTACCTAATTAAAAAGAAACAAATTCCAATCACAAGGATAAGGGGTTTCTATCAGTCAAGAAAAAATAACAAAAAAACTCTATAATGTTTTATTTTCAAGTCCTACATGTATATTAGCTAATCTTAATACCTGAATTGGCCAGCTCCAAGTGTATCACCTGTAAAAAGACTATTTCGTGCATCTCTTAGATTTTCCCGAAGTTTCTTATCTAGTTTCTGAAAAACAAAATGTTAGATTAATTTTTTCTTTTTTTTTTAGAGACAAGATCTCACTTTGTCACCCTCGGTGGAGTACTGTGGCATCACAGCTCACAGCAACCTCCAGCTCTTGGGCTTAGACAATCCTCTTGCCTCAGCCTCCCAAGTAGCGGGGACTACAGGTACCTGCCACAACACCTGGCTATGTTTTTGTTGCAGTTTGGCCAGGGCCAGCTTCGAACCCGCCACCCTCCTTATGTGGGGCCGGCACCCTATTCACTGAGCCACTGGTGCTGCCCTAGATGAACTCTTAAGAATAGTTTCTCATATAACTTTATGTAGGGCAATACATAACGTATTTTTACTTTCATAACCAACCTAGAATTTTTTTTTTTACAAAATAGCAAATTTAAGTATTTCAGCTTCTTTGCTTTTTTAGTATTATTATAACTTAGACTTGAAAAGACCACTGCCTTTTCTATTGTAACTCAGGGTTGATTCCACTAATGAGCAATTTTCATTGAGTAATTTTACTTTAGGTCCAGGATACACTCTGTAGTAATGACCTGCTCTCTTTCCTCAAGCATGACTACTGTATCAAGAAAAGTGTCTACAAGGAGAAAATGTTTACTTTGGTAAGGGGGAGTGAAGAGAGTAGTGGGGGGTACAAGAAGCCTTGGAAGAGAAAAGGAATATGTAAAAGAAAGTAGCCCTCCACCAGTCAGGGATTCATTTGGGCTAATAAAGCTCCAAAATGTTAATGCATCTTCCTCTGTGTTTCCATACCACTTACCCTGTTTCCTTTTCAGTAATTCTATACTTTCTCCAATCCCTTATTTATTTTTTAATCTTTCAAACAAATTTGTGAGTGCTCAATCTATAATGAATACTTTATTTCAGGCTGGTGGAACAGCAAAATGTGCTGCATCATTTTAAAAATGGTAATAAATGTTTGCTAAATGAAGTTAAATGTTAAATTATCTGGGTAATCAAATAAGTGTAAAATACTACTTGGAGAGATAAGGATAAATGAGAAATATACATTGTAATAAAAAAAAGGACTGGAAAAGTACACTAGAGTAAATAAGTACATTCTATCATACAGAAATACAAAATAATTAATTTTTATCTTTGATGGAATCCCAATGTAATAAAATAAAATGAAAATATTTGCCATTGATACTTAATATATAACCAAGCAAACACATATTTAATACTAATACTTGAAGTACTTATGGGAAAAAACTTCACAAAATGTTATTTATCTCCAGTGATATTTGCTTGAACTCACCATTGCTACCATTTCTGCTGCTGTTCCTCTTGAACATCTGATTATAGGAACAGCACCTATTTTAACAATAAATGTCAGCAATAATCTTGACCCTTAATAAAAACACTTACAATATACATTAGCATCAAAAAATAACAGATAGAATAGATGCACACAATTTTAGACTATAGACATAAAAGGATTTGTAATCTCAAGAGTAAAAGCAAGATTTCAGAAATGAAGCTTTCCATTAATAAAGAACAAGGGGGAGTCAGAAGAGAACAATTTTTACATAGAACTGAACAGTGTGACCAAATGTTTCAGTGGATTAAATAAGTCAGCATTTGACCTCCTACAGTTTCACAAATAAACTTACTCTCTATTCACAGGATTCACTTTAATTTGACTTAAAAGAATGAGAAGAATTTAGCTAATTTAGCAGTTTGGGATTACTATTTTCTGTTTGTTTTACAAGTTGACAATAAAAAGTTGTAGTCTTTTAAAAAAAATACTAATTTAAAACAGAAAACATATTCTTCACGTTTAATACTCCTAAAATTAAGCCTTAATTCATTATCAAACCAACTTATTGGACCTCTTAATTTCCTTGTTCATTTATTACTCCATCCAGTAAGTTTTATGAAAGGTTGAAACCCTAATAAAAAAAATCCAATTGTACTGAAAATATCATAGTATGAACTGAGAACACTAATCTTTATAAGCTCAAATTGTTCCATTTTATTTATTTTTTTGAAACAGGATCTTGCTCTGTTGCCCAGGCTGGAGTACAGAAGCACACTTCATAGCTGCAACCTCAAATTCCTGAGATTAAGTAATTTCCCCACCTTAGCCTTCTTGAGGAGTTGGAACTAAAGAAATATTTTTGGAGAGAAGAGGTCTTGCTATTTTGCTCAGGTTGGTTTTGAACTCCTGGGCTCAAGCTATCCTCCTGCCTCATCCCCTAAAGTGCTAGGATTACATTTATGAGCCACTGCACCTGGCCTGCATTTCAGATTCTATAGAAAAACATACTAAAGTCAACTGCAAAAGTAAAATATGGAATATGAGCAAAATTTTCAGAAATGTTTTTTCTGATGATGAAAGTTACATATGCTTGTTATAAAAGTTAATCCTCTTGATTCCAGCCTCCCCTCAATAATCTCCATTAAGAATAATCCCAAGAATTTCAGGTTGTTTTCTACATATAGTCTAGTGTGTGTATATATAAAAAACAATATAGGGAATTATATACACTGTTCTTAAAACTGCTTTTTTTCCATTTAATAATTTAGTGTTGACATTCTTCTATGTCAGATAGGCAGTAATTTCAATTTCTCCTTCGGGAAAAAAATCATGTTCTGGTACTCTCCCTAATAAAGGTGGCTCTAATGCTTCAGTGGTCTATGTCCCTTTTTCACTGTACCTTTACTTTGAAAATATAACCTTAATGTCCAAAATAACCCCAGCACTTGGCAAAATAATGAAAACTGTATGAGATGACAAAGTAGATAATGTCTATTTAATAACTAAAAGTAATATATGCGTGCTTTCTATAAAATAAAACCACCCACCCATTTGAGGGCATGGAGAGCAGGTCAAAGCAGGGAGGGGGATAAAACTCTTAAAAGAAGGGAATAAAAAGAAAAAGAAAAAGAAAAAAATAAGAAAAGAAGGAAATCATATTAAGGAAAGAAAATATTTTAAATCAGCTTTTCTCCTGAGGGTAGTTTAAAGAATGGGCTCAAAGAAAATAGGATACAGAGGCTCGGCGCCTGCAGCACAGTGGTTACGGCACCAGCCATATACACTGAGGGTGGTAGGTTTGAACCTGGCCTGGGCCAACTAGACAGCTGCAACAAAAAGATAGCCAGGCGCTGTGGTGGGCACCTGTAGTCAGTCCCAGCTACTTGGGAGGCTGAGGCCAGAGAATCGCTTTAGCCCAAGAGCTTGAGGTTGCTGTGAGCTGTGACGCCATGGCACTCTACCGAGGGCGATGTAGTGAGACTCTATCTCAAAAAAAAAAAAGAAAGAAAAGAAAATAGGATACATAATGAGGTAAAGAATCAAGGATCAGAGTTAGGGCTGGAAATAAAAGGAAAAAAAAAATCCAGGAAAGGAAGAAGTCCCAAAATTTACATATAACTTTTCCTCAAACATTTGTCTAAATCTAAACAGGTATGGTATCTCTTATTTTTTCATTTGTGAAATGGAGACAGATCTTATTAATCTTGTGTGAGAGGATGATTTTAACTAAATAGTTTTTAGTGTTCATAAAATTAAAATTAAAATTAGGTTTCTAAACTTATTTATTAATAACAGTAAAACATAAAGTCATGTATTAGATACTAAATACAAGGTAGCTGTAATTTTATTTGAACTAAAGAAATGTTTTAAATTTTAAAAGAACAATAGAATAGTATTACATGTAAGTTTAGTGTTTTATTAAGTCTTTGGCATTTGGACTTACTTGTTACCAAGAATATTATCTCTTATTTAGCAGTATTTAATTTTTAAAATGAAATGTTAAAAGAAAATTGACAGGTACATAAATGAAGTCACCACTAACCATTTAAACAGTAGAAAATTACAAGACCAAAGACACTCAAAAAGACAACACAATACATCTACGTTCCAACTCAAGAGGAATAAATACATTGAGTTAACAGAAGAATTATTTTTATATACTTTTGAATGTATATTTTACTACAACTCTTAAGAGCCTTTAGAGATCAAGATAGGTAAAACAGGGTATCAGAGTATAATATATTAAAACGAGTTGTTAAATAATTAATGTACTTTGAGAAAACAACCAGAAAGGCGCCTATAGTCCCAGCTATTTGGGAGGCTGAGGCAAAAGAATTGCTTAAGCCCAAGAATTTGAGGTTGCTGTGAGCTGTTATGCCACGGTACTCTACCAAGGGCACCTCTGTCTCAAAACAAACAAACAAAAAGGAAATAACCAGAAAGATTTGAAAACTTACCAAGTGTAACAAAAAAGCAGAAGAGGCTGTCAACAATAGTGTCCATAACAGTTTCCATTTCCGTGTCTGTGATATCTGGTCTGTTAATGGCTAAAATGACATAAATAATGGGGCAAAAAAAACCTTTAAATTTATGTCTTTACAACACCTCTAAAATTATTACTCAACTTATAATCAATATGCAGTTTGATAACATACTGAATTCATATGAATTGATAACAAATCAATTCAATTAATAATAAACAGCTAGAATTTTTTGCTTTAAACTCTTATTTTGTGAACAAATATTTGTTACAAATTCTATTACCTCAAAAAAGAGAGGAAAGAAAGAAAATCAAAACATACCACTTCAATATCAGATATTGTCAGAGTAGCAGTAAGGAAAACAACCCCACCATATATAAACTACACAAAATTTTTGCAGAGCAAATGGAAAGTAAATATTGTATTCTATGATTTTATTTATAAACACTAGCTGGCCTTAAGAAACTGTTGATTCTATTATCCAGCTACTGCTAGAAAAGGACAATGCAAATTAATTCTGGAAAAACAAATTCTGGAAAATATAATTTTCTTTATAGTATATATTATGTTATATGAACTTCATTTCTAATCTACAAGACTGTACATAAGTAGTTCCAACTTTGGTAGGTATTAAGAATCACCTTGACACTTGTAATCCTTGCACTCTGTGAAGCCGAGGTGGGTGGATCCCCTGAGCTCAGTTCAAACCAGCCTGAGCAAGAGCAAGATCCTGCATCTACTAAAAATAGCAAACATCAGCTGGGCATTATGGCAGACACTGGTAGCCCTAGCTACATGGGAGACTCAAGCAGGAGGATGGCATGAATCCAGGAGTTTGAGGTTGCTGTGAGCTAAAGTGATGCCATGGCCCTCTAGTCTGGGGCAGGAGTGAGAGTCTGTCTCAAAAATAAATTAAATTAAAAATATTTAGCCCTTTCCTTTAGGGATGCAATCCAATAGGTATGGGATAATTCTAGGAAATCTGCAATTCTGACAAGCTCTTTAGGTGATCCAGATATAAATCACCCTTGGGAATAAACTTTAAAGAACACTGCAGTTCTTGACAAAGACCCTGACTTATCTTCTCACTCACAGTATCTAGGTTCAGTGTCTGACAAAATAGATGCTTAATAAACACATGTTGAAAGAATGAACTAAAATAGTATCTACATAATATTTTTAATTTCCCAATATCCTGAATGTGAAAACAAATATAGAATTTAATAACAACTTGCGATTTGCTTAAGAGAAATGCAGAATCCAATTGGGTCTATCAAGTATCTAAAGAAAGTATGATCCACCCAGAGAACATATAACGAATTCAATCAGGCAACACAGAATCTGGATCAAGGAAATGTGTTCTTACTTGGGTGTTACAGCCTAACATCTTTCTACCTGAATCAGATAAAAGAAATGTAATAAGGATACAATGTGAAATTATATGAATTCAGGGGACATCAATTCAGGGAAATACATGTTCAATTCATTTTGTAAATCACTGCATAGTTAATTTTGCAGGCACTTAAAATCCCTTACAATAATTAAATCACTGGCACATTTTGTCATTCACCGGCATTGGCAAAATCTATATGGAAGCATCCAGCTCCTGGTTCTTAAGACTCTAATTCCACATCAATCAATTAGTTTATAATTGATTAAATGAAACAGTTATAAACTGTCCATTAACAACATTAACTCATTTTGAAATAACAACCTGCTTTGCCTAAGATAGTAACCTCAATTTGGCTAAGATGATAAATTCGCTTTGTCAGATAACTTTCCCATCCAAAGAAAATTCAGGATTAAAAAGACAAGAGATGCAGATAAAACTCATAGCATTAATACATTTGATTTATGTTTTAAAAACCCTGTTTAAGATTATTAAAGCACTTGTAATGTTTAAAAGAACTTAGCATACAATTACATTATGGCAAAGAGCACTATCTCTGGAGTGAGATTGCCCATGTTTCGTAACTAGGTTCTGCACTTGTCTTGTCACTTAATAACTATGCTTCTGTTTTCTCATCCGTAAAACGGAAACAATCATAAAATCTACTTACAGTTATTCTGAAGAGTAAATGAACTTACATTGTAAAGTGCTTAATGCACTGACACAGAGTAAGCTATTGCTATAATTGAGGATCTGGGTGATTAGCTACATGATTAGTTTAAAATTAGTAATAAATTTCATACTTTTATACATTTTTTAAAGTTGACATGTGTAATAAAATTTAACAAAATTAATATTTGAATGTTTAATGAATTTTGGACTCACTATAAGTTAATTATTTTTAAAGGATTATTTAAATATTTGAGCGGGTTTTGCTTGTTAAATTTTTTTTTGAGACAGAATCTTGCTTTGTTGCCCACACTAGAGTGCCCTGGCCTTAGCTCAAAGCAACCTCAAGCAATCTTCCTGCCTCGGCCTCATAAGTAGCTCAACTACAGGCTCCTGCCACAACGCCTGGCTAATTTTTCTATTTTCAGTAGAGACAGGGTCTTGCTCTTGCTCAGGCTTGTTTTGAATCCCTGAGTCCGAGGGATCCTCCCACCTTTGCCTCCCAGAGTATTAGGATTACAGGCCTGAGATACAGTGCCAGGCCTGCCTTTGAGATTAATAAATTTGCCTAGTCTGATATACAAAGCATGGTGTTTACAAAAGAAAACGTAAAATACTGAACTTATTAAATACTGAACTTAAACGTAAAATACTGAATACTTATTATTCAGTTAATTATTAACTGAATTAATATTATAATTATTAACATAATTAAAAATGTTTAAAGGAATTTAAATCATGTTTTCTAATTAAGTTTGTTAAACTGAGACTGATTAGAATATAGTCTATTCAATATGAGCTAACTGATCAAGTAAAGAAGTTGCTTTCTTAATTTTACCAGATTTATATATAGTATAACAAAATCTATAAGTTTAACTCTATGGCTTAGAGAAAACTAGGTTTTAAGCAACTAACTTATAAATAAGCTGCTAATTCATTTAAAACTAATTATAAATAGACCTTTGTGAATAACAACCATTGTCAAAATCTCTCACACTTACAGTTCAGAAAATACCATATTTATACCCTTCTAGGGATTTTGTTTAATTTCAATAAGAAAACATTTTGTAGAGCTCAATGAAACCAAAAGCTTCATGTTTCTGTCTGTCAGAGAGCTTCCCATCTGGTCCGGTGTTTTATAACTATCCAAGGGCAAAGTACTAGACAATTAATTCGAATCCTGCTACTAAAAGATTACCTTACTTGCCATGGGTGAATCATTCATGGAAGGTGCTATTAATTGGTACTTCACTGAGCTTACAAAACAGGTTTACTAAATGTTGGTTATAGGTGACAGAATTCAGCCTGAGACTTGTTTTATTTGTGTGCTTTTAAAAATCTTTTACAAAAAATAAAAAATAAAAATAAAAAGTAATTTTTTTTATAGCTCTACTGCTTTAAACAAAGCTGGTTTTAAACCCACTAAACTTAGATGTGACTATTTTTTCTTACAGTGCATTATTCATATTATTAGCAATGAATTGGGATATTCCTGTTTTTACATACCACGATAGGAAACAAGCTCCTTATTTTGATTACATAATACAAACATATCATCTTCCAAAGTAATAAAATTGAGATACTGATCAAAAACCTAGAAACAAAAGAAAAAGTTTATAAATCAATTTTATAATAAAGCCATATTGAAAGTAAATTTAGTTTGATTTAATATACCAATAGTAGAAATGGAAAAAATAATTACATTTGATAACTCAAAATTAATTTACTATAAAGCAGGCTGTCTAACTGGGTAAAGATGAGCAGCTAAGAATATTAAAAAGCACTCAATGGTTAGAGCGCCAGCCCTGGGCACTGGGGGTGGTGGGTTCGAACCCGGCCAGGGCCTGCTAAACAAACAAGCAAACAAAAAAGCTGGGTGGGTGTGGTGGCTTACTCCTATAATCACAGCACGTGGGAGGCTGACGTGGGTGGATTGCTTGAGCTGACATTTCGAGATCAGCCTGAACAAGAGCAAGACCTGTCTCTAAAAAATAGGTGGGCGTTGTGGTACAATGCCTGTAGTTCTAGCTACTGACGAAGCTGAGGCAAGAGAATTGCTTAAGCCCAAGAGTTTCAGGTTGCTGTGAGCTATGCCATGGCATTCTCCCAAGGGCGACAAAATGAGATTCTGTCTCCAAAAAAAAAAAAAAGAGAGAATTACTAAAAAGCAAAAACCTGGCCAGGTATAGAGGCTCACACCTGTAATCCTAGCACTCTGGGAGGCTGAGGTGGGTAGATTGCTTGAGCTCACAGGTTTGAGACCAGCCTGAGCCAGAGCGAGACCCCACCTCTAAAAATGGCCAGGCATTGTGGGAGCTACTTGGGAGACCGAGGCCAGAAAATCATGTTAGCCCAAGAGTTTGAGGTTGCTGTGAGCTGTGACTCCACAGCACTCTACCGAGGGCAACAAAGTAAGACTCTGTCTCAAAAAAAAAAAAAACAACCAAACCAAAAAACTACAAGATTTTGGGCAATAAACATCAAAGGGGGAGTAACATTTTTAGAAAACACAATTTAAGCAGACATAAGAATTTAAACTATGGTTGAGAAGGGAACAGATATAAATTTTTAAGAAAAACCTCAGTTATAATTTTTATATTCAGTTTAATCACACTTTCCTAAGAAAGTCACAGTTAACTATTTTTACATCATGAACTTTTTTTATAAATGAAGTGGGAAAGAGTTATGTGAGTTCTTTGGAAGTACAGATTAGGAGAAAAATTAAGAGAATAAGTTGAAATACACAAAATTTAAAGAGATTAAAAGCTATTTCTATTATTTTGTGTGAAATTAATGATAAAATTTGAGCAAGAACATTAAAAGACACAAGCCTCAAAAAATAATCAGAGGGTGGGCACAGTACGGTTTATGCCTGTAATCCCACCACTTTGGGAAGATAAAGTAGGAGGATCACTTGAGGCCAGGAGTTTAAAACTAGCCTGGGCAACATAGCAAGATTTTTCTCTACAAAAACTTAAAGAGTTAGCTGGGTGTGGTGGGGAATGCCTGTAGTCCCAGCTATTGGGAGGCTGAGATAGGTTGCAGTGAGTTATGATTATGCCACTGCACTCTAGCCTGGGCTAAAGTGCCAAGCCCTGTCTTAATGCAACAACAACAAAAACTACTTAGAAGTAGTAGTGGTTTATATAAATCTAAGCATGAAAACTCAGTGGAAAAAAAGGGGAGAAATAAGAGATGGTTGTTTCGTCTGTTATTTTCCCTATATACTTCCCTAGAATTTTGTTTTTGTCTTGTCCAAAATCAAGCAGCACAGGTCACAACTGGGCTAACATCAGGAACGTATTTCACAAATTGATTTGTAACTCAAGGTAAACCTGACTAAAAAGACACAACGATGTAGAATTATTGGTTCTTTTTCTCTCATAATGTGCAATACAGCCTCTTTGGATCCACTTTCTTAAGAAAAGATCTGGAAATAGTGTTATCTATACTAGTTCCACATCAAACAATGTCAACGTATTTTTAGCACAATTTATGATAACACAATTGTAAAATGATTTCTTAGTTGAGCAAAAAAGATCACGCAATTCTCAGCCTAAAACAAAATTCACTCTGCTTTTTATGTTTGTCTTCCAGATTCATTAAATAGCAGATTCCTTTGGTTTATTTTGCCTAGTTCAAGTCCAAGACAATTTACATTATCAGAATTCTTTCTAAAAGTATTGAGCCTAAACATTTCTTAGGTCATTCTGGTCATTTATAAATCAGACACCTATGTCAATTAGCAGGTTTCAGAACACTGTTAAATTTTACAGTAACAAAATGTTATCAACCAATCAAAATCTCTTACCTTGGCTACTTGTGTGACTGCACTAGCTGCTAATGCTGCATTTGCAATATCTTCCAGTTTACTTCTTGAAATAGCAGAAATAAAATTTAAATAGTATGATTCATAAAGTTGATTCCGAAGATCCTAAAAATACAATGAATCTTTCATGCTCACAGGATAATATAAAGGAGACCATGAATATAAATCTTTTATACACTATAAAAGAAAGGTTTTGGAGAATAAGATACACATTTAAAAGACAGGTTATATAAATGAAAATAAAAAAAAGTATCTTAAGAGAACAAAGTTATGAAGAAGTATTGGTGTTACCTGCAACTGAAATATATCTTAATAATCAAAATTACAAAATTATATTACCAACAAAATACCATTAATTATAATGGTGCACAAACTGCTTCGATATAGCTTTTCTTCATTTTTCTTAAAAATACCCAGAAATGATTCACTAATGTATAGTAATAAAATCATAAATAATTCCAATGACCAAATCCAGAAATAATTCTTAATTATTTACAAGTAATAGAATTTAAGTTATATAATTTGTTTTTGGAGATGAAGTGTCCTCACTCTGTTGCCTAGGCTAGAGTGCTGTAGCATCATCCCAGCTCATAGCAACCTCAACTTCTAGGCTTGGGTGATCCTCTTGCCTTAGCCTCTGGAGGAGCTGGGACTACAGGCGCCCAGGACAATTTTTCTATTTTTAGTAGAGATGGGCAGGGTCTCACTCTTGCTCAGGATGATCTCAAACTCCTGAGCTCAAGCAATCCTATTGCCTCAGCCTCCCAGAGTGGGAGGATTACAGGCGTGAGCCAACACACCTGGCCAAGTTATGCAAATTCTTACATCAAATTTATTTATCTTCTTAAACTCTAGGCAAACAAATAAATAATATCCATATTTCCTCAAATCTAAAATGATGTTGACTGTAATAGACACCACCATTTTATGTACCATTAAGAATTAATCCTGTCAATAAATTTCATTACACACAATCAATTTTAAGATGTATCCGATTTCAGAGATGTTAAAATGTGAAAAACTAGTTGTTGGAGCCTGTGTGAGGAAGGTAGCTGAGCACAGCAGTGGTTCAACAAAGGTCAAGAGAACTAGTTATGTATGAGGATTGAGAAAATTGGTACCATGTTCAGGTTACTGGGAGACATGCTTTCTACTGTTAGAGAAAGGAATTACAAATTTGTAAAGGGAAAAAGGAAAAACTAGAATGAATCTTGTGCTGGTAAACTAAAACAATTTGGGAGTTATCTACATAGATAGGTAGGGAGGAGAGAGGTAGAATTATAGAAATAAATATAGCTATAAAAGTTTACATATGTACATACATATATTTCCTAACTTTGTCCATTAAAAGGGTTTAAGAACAGTCACACCCTAGTTCCAATGAGTATACCTAATGCCTATATCCTGATTTCTAAAGTCTGTTCTCTACAGAAAGCAACCAGGGCTCCTTAGACAAATGGTTGACTACCAGGCTGGGAGAGAGAAAGTTCAATCCCAGACTATCCTGGAATATTTCCTTGTGCCAGACAGTAAGGAAGTGGTCAAAGAATGATAAACACATTTTAAAAGGACACACAAATTCAACAAAGTTATAATATAAATATATAAAAATCAGTTGGATTTCCATAATATTGCAATGAACAGTTAGGTAAGAAAACTCCATTCATAATACCCTTAAAAACAAATTTAAATAAATTTAACATAAGAAGCATAAAGTTTATAATCTAAAATTATAAAACATTATTAAAATTTATTATGTTTAATAAATTTAACATAGGAAGCATAAAGTTTATAATCTAAAATTATAAAACATTATTAAAAGAAATTAGATTTAAGTAAATGGAAGGATCCCATGTACACAGATCAGAAAATTTAGTATTGTTAAGATGGTAATACTCCCCAAACTATTTACAGATTCAATGCTATCCCTATCAGAACCCTAGAGATGGCTTCTCTGTAGGCACTGATAAATTAATCCTAAAATTAATTTAGAAACTCAAGGGACTCAGAAATGCCAGAATGAGCTTTAAAAAGAACTACAAAGCTGGAGGACTCAATTTCCCAATTTTAAAACTTGCTACCAAGTAAGAGAAATCAAGACTCTGTGGTATAGGCATAAAGTCAGACACAGACATCAGTGGAACAGAATTGAGAGCCCAGAAATAAATGGTCAACTGATTTTTGGCAAGGCTGCCAACACCATTCATTGGGACAGAATAGATTCTGCACTAAATAATGCTGGGACAACAATTAGCCACATGCAAAAAAAAAAATGAAATTGTACATCTACTTCTACTATATATAAAAATTAACTCAAAATGGATGAATGACTTACCTGTAAGAGCCAAAATTATTTAATATAAAATCCTTAGAAACAAACACAAAGGTTTGAAATAGCTTCTTAAACATGATGCCAAAAGCACAAACAAGAAAAAATAGATAAACTGTGCTTCACCAAAATGAATTTTTGTGTTCTACAAGATACTGTGAAAAAAGAAAATACTGTGCTTTGTCAAGAGAGTAAAAAGACAACTTAACAATGGGAGAAAATACCTGGATCTCAGATAAGGATTTTGTGCCCCAAATACATAAATATCTCTAAAAACTCAACAATAACAAGAACTCAATTAAAAAATGGGCAAAGAATCTGAATAGACATTCTCACACAAATGACCAATAAGCATGTTAAAAGATGTTATTAAAGAAATAGAAATGCTCATTGAGTGGGGAAAAGATTCCCTATTTAACAAATGGTGCTGGGTGAACTGGCTGGCAACCTGTAGAAGACTGAAACTGGACCCACACCTTTC